GCAAGCGTTCGCTTCTTCAGCTTCTGCCAAGGGCCGGCACTGCAATACAGTAACACATAAATGGTTATCAAATGCATTATGTATGTTTTTATTTATTTAAAGGCTTTCAAAATTTATCAAATGCATTCTGTTAGTTGTTTTACTTAGCTAGTTGATATATATTGATAATTTTTAACAGTTTTATATATAAATAATAAAACTTCATATACATAAGAATATATATAATAGAATTCAATCATTATATGTGTAGTCCATAATTTTATAGGCTTAATTTAATATTTCACCTGCCAAGGAAGATAAAAAGAAACGTCATCACTTTTCAAGATTGAAGTAATTATCCACATAGTAAATGTGTACGCACAGTCGTACGCAATAGTTTAAGCAAAAACATATTCCTCAAAACCTAAATAGCTGTTTCGTAAAAGATACTTTGCTTGACTAATTTACCCGCCACCATCTGTAAATACAAATTTTGAGATTGATAGTAATTGATAACGTTTTGTAACAATCACAGAAAACGCTATAAATCGTTTTAAATCACTCTAAATTTCTAAAATTCAAAAGTTGATTACATCTAGCGTTTGCGGTTGCGGGCGATAGTGAAATGGTAAAAACATTTTTTTGTAAAAACTATATAAATATAAAAATAAAAATACTCGATTATTTTTTAAAAATTAAAATAATAAAAGTACCAATATATATATATATATATATATATATATATATATATATATATATCATATTTCCATTTATAAAACTTCAAAACAAAAATATTTAAAAAAATTATTACTATAATTTTATCAATATAACTTTTATATTTACTATAAAAATATATTTTTATTTTTTTAAAATTTATATGAAATATAAATATTGTTAATTTATTATCTAACCGCTACTGTATTTGGTAATCAAACCAGTCATAAGTATTTCGCAAACACAACAATTTTTTATCGTCGTACCAATCATTCACATCTCTTAGAGCATCCCCATTAGGGGTTCTAAGGGGGAGTTCACACGTTTTCCGAGAGGAACAGTGATGAACCCGGCGCGCGTAGGTTCGTCGTGGTGAACTCGGTTCGTCACGGGTTCGCCACGTGGCGAGCTGTGATTCGCCAAAATTTTTTTTTTTTTGAAAAAGTAAAAAAAAAAAAAAATTATTTTTTATTCCTATGAACCTCTCCCCATCAGGTTCACTGATGGGGATGCTCTTATTAATGTTTAAAACCGTAATTATCTGCATCTATAAGTGTCTGCAACCGCAAGCGCAATCGCTGAGGTTATACAAATCAGACCCTTTCCACAGTATATCGTAACGTTGATCACAACGAGTTCAATAAAGGCTCACATGCATGCTATTTAAGTAGCAACTATGCATGATAGAGTTAGAGGCCAGATGTAGAATACACACCATGCGACGGGAAACAAAAAAGGACACGACAGGAAGTAAGAGTAGCCACATCGTGACATTCCTGACCACGAATAAGGTTGTTGAACTCATATTATCTTTGTGTCCCTATGCGAGACTGATCTATACATGTGCATATATATCCTTTGGTATCTAAATTAGTGGCCCCATCGTATATGATTTGAGTGCAATGTCTCCCGTCTAAATTTCGTCGCATTCATAATAATCGTAAGCGGGTCCTGTTATGCTCCTAGCGTATTACATATGATTAATTGTATTCGTATATATCGATGATCAGCTAAGAAAATTCTTAGCCCTACCAAATCGAATAAACGACTATTGGTAAATTGAGAATTAGCCATTAAGATACTGTTTTTCAAGTGCCACAAACGTGAACTAGCTCTCACTAAATAAGATCTAATAGTTACTAAAACGTTAATAAATGTGAATATATAATTGGAAATGTTTATATAAGTAAGTGGTATTAGACCATGATTAATTCGAGGTTTATAAGGCGGAGTTCTTAACGTAAGTTAAGAAAATGTTACTTTTAACTAAAAATGTTAAGAACCGGTTCTTAGATAATGATTAACCCGAAGTTCTTTAGGTGAGGTTTTTAGCGGAAGTTAAGAAACTGTTTCTTAACTCCCACTAAAAACTCTATCTTAAAAACTCCATCTTAGAAACTCAGGGTTAATCATATTGTTAAAATCTTTATTTAAAAATTGGTTTTAATACTTTTAGTTAAAACTTAAAAAAATATTTTTTTGATTTTCTCTAAGAATTCTGTCTTAAAAATCCTGGGTTAATCATTATGTTGTTGTTCCAAAATGCATCTTGATTTATTTACTTTTTGTAACTGATTTTTTTTTGGGGAAACTGTTTTTTTAGACCAAATAGGTTTGGATATTGTCCCTTTAGGCTAAATTATATTTTGTACCAATTTTGACTTTAATGCCCTTTATGTATTTTCGAAATTATTAAAAAAATAGATTTATGAAGCAAATTGTTTTTAAAAAAATAGTACATAATGATGAAATCTCTATATCTATATAGTGATATTTTTTTCTTGTTTTAAAAATATGTAAATAATAATTTCATATATCTATTCTACCGAAATTAGAATATGTATTCTACGGATTGGAATACAGAATCTACTTTTTTCACTATTTCTACGAATTGCAGAATATGTTTTCTACGGAGATAACATGAATCTAAAATAGTTTGGAATACACATTCCACGCTTATCATATAGTTCTAAAAAGAGTAGAAGTTGAAATCTAAATTCGTACTTAAATCTAAGACAAGTAGAAGTCAGAATCTAAATTCGCACAATGTTCTAATACACGTAGAAACTGATTTCATATCTTTTTACACAGTTCTACGTTTAGTAGAATCTGAATTCTACGAATAAATATTATTAGATCCGAAAATATAGCAAGAATATCTTAGAGAATATTCTGTTACCATATTTAAAACTCCATTTTAAAAAAAAAAATGAAAAATTTGATTTTTTTTTTAAAAAAAAGGAAAATTCAATTTTTTTTAAAAAAGAGGAAAATTCGATTTAAAAAAAAAGGAAAATTCAAAAGCAAAAACTTTATTAAAAGGAAATTCGATTTAAAAAAAGAGGAAAATTCGATTTTTTTGCAAATATTCAGTTTCCATATTTATAAAATCGATTTTAAAAAAATAATAAAAGAAAAAACCGTTTTCAAATATGGGGTTTTTTATTTTTTATTTTATTTTCAATTATAAATTTTTTATTAAATCGAAAATATCTTATTTTATTTTTTTGAAGTTTTAATTTTTTTTTAATTTCGAATATACTTTTTGATCAAATCGAAAATATATTGTTTTTTTATTATTATTATTTTTTTTTTAATTTCTAATACAATTTTTAATTAAAAATAATAATTTTATTATTATTTTCTAATTATAATTACAAATTATTAAATTGTTCTAAGAGTATTATTGCCATTTAGAAAAAAATTAACTTAATGGGACAATAATTAAATGGGATTAGATTAAAGGGACAACTTCCTAATGATTTTGGTAAAAAAAAAACTATTTTCTCTTTTCTTTTTGCTAAGGTTCGAAGTCTCATGTTGAATACTGTCGAATATTCTTTTATCTCAAGACGATAATATATAGTAGTAGTATATATAGAAAAGGGACGTTGTGATAACCAACGTAAAAGGTTCCTAGATTCCACAACAATAATTTATTTACACGTCAATTTAGAGAGAGTTTAAATATATATTGCGATTACTTTTCATAAATTTAACGTAGAGTTTTCCTAAAAGCGACCCATTAAAGTACTAACATATTCCTAAGTTAGTGGATAAATGAGTCTCGTTCTCTTACAAATCTTATCCGAACTAAATCCACATCTACTTGCCTATCTATAGCTTATACGCATAAAAAAGACGCATGACACAAAGTCACAAACCTTTCCATCGGCGAAGAGGCAAATTAAGCTTAAGTCTACCCCCAAGAATGCCTAATTGGATGCGTAATTGATATAATTCTAAGTTACACAAATATTCGACCAAAAAAACAAAGGAGGTACAAGAACCATGTAATTTTGTGCTAAAAAATCAAAATCGAGACAAGCTGTTTACCGAATCATATTACCAATATTTAGAAGTATGGGATTATGCCGGTAGAGCTATATTATGTATATTAATCCAAATCTAAAATTATTATGTGGGTAGTAGTGAGAAAGGGATACAGTTTCAATCGAATTTCAAAATCAATTCAGAATTTCGTCAAATATATCGGGACTTTATTTGGTTTATTTCTTTTAAGTTTCTATTTTGCTCGGTGTCAGATATGATACTTGGAACATCCGCGTATATTTTTCCTACCTGGTTCTCAAGCGTTAGATGTACATGCCAATTTAACCAGATTAGAAGATACCGTTAGATAATTCAACTAAACGCAATATAGTTTAAATGTAATGTGTAATAGACTTATAACTAGTAGTATTTAACAATCCAAAAGTACATATTCAGTTATATAAATATGGTACGCTAAATAATACAGTTGGTTGACAACTTGACAGCAAGCGAATCTCCAGCCCTTGGGAGCAAGAAAGGAGTAAGCAAAGTCACCGTGTCACATTTCACGTCAGCAAAAAGTGAAAGTTAAATACAGATTTGATTCTTGACGAAAGATAATAATAATTTTAGCAATTATAAGCAAACGAATACACTTTAATTTGGAAAAGTGAACCACCGCATATGATTAAAAAGAGCACTGAATATTGTTATAAAAAGTGTATGATGTGAGTTGAGCAATCACTTACCTCTCCAACCAGCCACTACCCGACCACTGGAGTGGGGGCAAAAGCCAAAGTGCCAATAGATAAAAAAACGAAGAGTTAACAAAGTATATAACCTACGTGTTCATCCACTGTTGATCCATGTGGCCACATATTCCCATTGGTATATATTTAACCAACATAAAAGTTTGCTCAAAAAAAAAAAAAAAACATAAAAGCAAGTGCAGGTGTGTTTAGCCTTCTAATCTCAAGAGTTTTGGGCCGGTAAAGTTCACTAGTAAGCCCACCTAACTACACAAGTATCCTGACCCAAAACGTACTATATATCATATATGTAAATACCCAAAGAGATCAACATACATGATGAAACCAAAAGAGAAGTAAAAAGAAACATAAACAAAAGATCCAGACACGATACACATATTTAAAGATCAGTGATAAAAACAACATCACTCTCTCGATATTACTTTCCTCCCACATTTTAGAGCTCAGCATCATCTTCGTCTAAGGCACCCTTAACTCGCTTTGACTTGTGCGTCACGGTATCTTTAGCTTGCTCTGTTTTCTTTGCAGCTGAATCATAGCTCTGAGACGCTTTATCTTTCGCAGACTCTAAAGTCTCATCGGCTTTAGATTTAGCAGTCTCGTAGCTTTCTTTACTCTTGTCCTTCGCACTCTTGCTGTCTCTCTCAGCTTCCTCCTTCAACCTCTCCGCCTTCTCCTTAGCCGCACTCGTCAGATCGCTCGCTTTCTCCTTAGCCGCCTCAACCGTTTCTTCCAACCTCACCTTAGCGTCTCCTGCTTTGCGTTTGGCCGCGTCCTTGGCTTCTTTAGCCTTCTCAGACACCGTGTCCCCCACGTTAGGGTAGTTTTCATGATCATCATGCTTAATCCCGACTTTCTCTTTAGCCCAATCAGTCCATGACTCATCGGTGTTATCGCCAGACAAACTATCTTTAACTTGTTTTGACTTGTGAGACAAGTCATCTTTAACTTGACCGGCTGAATCGTAGCTCTGAGATGCCTTGTCTTTCACGGAACCAATAGTCTCGCCTGCTTTTGATTTTGCCGTCTCGTAAGCACCCTCTGCTTTCTCCTTGGTCGCTCCAGCCGCTTCCTCTGCTTTGCGTCTAGCCGCGTCCTTAGCGTCCTTGGCCTTATCAGCGGCTCCATAAGCGTTGTCTTGGACTGTTGTGGTGGTGTGAGTGTTTGGCACGTGGTGCTCTTCATGCTTCAGACCGATCTTCTCCTTGGCCCAATCAGTCCATGATTCATCTTTAGCCGCTTCTTCTTCGACCGTGGCCATCGTTACAACAGCCATAAGTACCAAAGATACAATACACAAACCGTACACTCTCTTTAAACCCATTTTATGTAACACTACTTTCTCCCTCTCTCTCGCAGGAATGAAATAATGATTGATGATGATATAGATAGTTATCAACAGGAAAAGCTCTGTGATGTTTTCTCTAAGGATTGGTCATGTGAGGGCTGTGTTATGTATTAGTGGAGAAGGAGATGGTTTGGTGACACATGTCCAACAACGTGGCGAGTTCCCACTACTTCTGGCGGTTTGGTCTTGGATTCGTGTTAAGTGGTTCTTTACACGTGTTACCTATGTTACCAACGATTGGTTTTGCTGGAAAAATACTCAACCGACTTGCGTTGTTAAAATAATAGATAGAATATATTAGACAAGCAGTTCTTGCCACCTGCTCGAAAAGTAATAGTCTAAAGAGAGACACAAAGACTTTTGATAAGGTTTTGATTCTTCTTTTACAGACATATCTACAAATTCATTTCGGATAACTGAAGTTTCTTATGATCGGTTGTTTTGTCACAAATCTTTTTGGTTGAAAGGCTTGTAACCATTTATATATCTCGTTGTGGGGGGTTTGTTAATAAACCGAATGGGCTTACAAGATGCAAGTTGTTTACTTGTTTTATACAAATGCGGCATGTATGAACGGATGTCAATCAGGTTAATAAAGCTTGGCCCATGCAAGACTTGTCATTAGGGATGTTGTGACGGGTAAAATTATCTGGCCCGATCCGAACCCGAAAAATACCCGCCCAAAAAATATCCTAAACTTAAAAACTCGAAAAAAACCCAGTATTATTAGGGTAACCCGCGAAAAACCCGAAACCTTTAGGGTTATCCACGGGTACCCGTGAAAAATTCTATCTCTATTTCTTTAAAAGTTTTGTGGGTTTTAGGTAAAACTTTAATTATAGTTTTAAATAAATTCATATGTATTGAATATTTATTTTTAAATAATGTTTTGAATTTTATAGTTTAATACTAAGTTTTGAGCTTTAGAAAGATAATGATTAAAAATATATCATCACATGTACGTTAAAGAAGATTATAATAACACACACCCCACTAGGTTTTTCCCCTGAAGTCAAACAAAACAGAGTAAAAAAACAGAGTCTGTCTCCATGGAGATTAACCAAACTACTTGACCATATTACAAAACACAGAACATAACATATATATGGTCAATGAAAAAAAGTATTAAATTACGTAAACTAACCTTTGCGTACGTACGAAAGAAAAACAAAACCTTTTTTTCAAAAGCTGAACCAAATTGAATAACGAAACGGAGGAGCAAAGTGACAAAAATGGATAAAATTTAGGTCTTACGATATGAAAGTTGGAAGAAAACAATACGACTACGAGTCAACAACGACGACTAAGGGCATGTTCAAAGGGTGAGCACTTTAGGGTGTGCTTAGAGTGAAAATATTAGTTAAAAAATGGATTTGAGTTAAGAACAAGGAAATTTTCAAAGGGAGATCACTTCTTTAAAGGGTGTGCTTAAGATCACCCTTATTTTCCCCCTTTTTCTCGACCAATACGCGCGTGACACGTCCCCAAACACATGAGCTAAGCACTGGTCTTCAACAAGAACTCTCAAAGTGTTCTTGGACCACTTTTTTATTAAATTTTATTTTTAAAAGGCCAAGCACATAGCATATGTGCCCCCTTTGAACATGGCCTAAGAATAAAGGAAGTCAAAGTTATTGACTGCTAAAGCAAACAAAGTCCTATTTAATTAATTCATCTACATAATATACATTTCAGATTACAGGTAAAAGATTCCACTAGATGCGCTTTTCATTAACTTTAGCTAAGTTGGAGAGCTCAAAATTTTCATTTCTCCACATCTTTATCAAGTCAAGAATTGTGAAAAAAAAAAACCCATAGGGTACCCAAAACCCGACAGTGTAAACCCGATAGGGTAATTATAAACACAAGATCCGCCCAATAAAAACCCGCACAAATTAAAATCTAAACATACGGTTTTCGGGTTTCAAATTTTAACCGGGTTTCGAGTACCCTATGGGTAAAAACCCATTATTAACATCCCTACTTGTCATACTTCTCGCGTAGTCAAGATTTTGGCCCATAAAGTTACAAATTGGTTAAGAAAATAAACAGATCACTGAAACGAGATTAGTCTACTGTTTGTTAGAAGGTGTGTTGCCCAAAGCAGTCTACTGTTAGAAGAAGTTTTCTTTTTGGAGAGGTCGTTTCTGTTTAGTTGATAAACAAGTAAAAGGATAAATCTTTTCTATGTTCGTTTCTTTCCCTTTTGAAGTGGATCAGTGTTCTAATGATTTTTACTCCAGTTCGTTGTCTATGACTGCTTATTACAACTTCCACATCAGTTGCATGGTCTTCGCCAGTGATTAGGTTTGGGTATTCGGATCCTCCAATCCGGGTCGAGTTCCATCGGATCTAGATTAGTTCAGATCTTAGATGATTGAATCCAATAAAATAATTAAGATTTTTCGGTTTGGTTTTGAATCGGCAATTTGGACATATGGGTTCTAACCCAAAAAATTAACCAAAAATACAAAAAATATTTGAAAATATTTAGCTACCTAAAAAATATTCAAAACTTTATCTAAAATCTGACCCGGAAACATAAAAATATCTAAAATTTTATCTGATTATTCGGATTATATTTTAAAATTTTCTTAATTTTTTTCTTAAAACTCAAAACTATACTCGAAAACTCAAAATCGGAATTTTAAAAATAATACTCATAATACCAAACATATACTGGAACACACACATATATATACCTAATATGTATTAGAAATTTGGATATTTCGGGTACCTCATCAAGTCTTGGGTTCATGGTTAGTCAGGTTCAAGATCCACAGGTCCTCCATAATAAAATCTAATAGGATAAAATGATCGGTTCGGTTCCTATCTGAACCAGATTTTTTCAGGTCGGCTTCGGATAGAAATTTCGGTTCTGATTAAAATGTCCAGGCTTACCAATGATACATATATCTCAGTGTGTTCTGATAAATACAGTACAAATATTTTCATATTCTTAAAATATAGAACTAAATAAAACGTAGAGCTAATCACTAAAGCATAACTTGCAGAAGAGTTTCTAACTAAGGTTCTCAAAGTTCTTTCACTGATAATGGTTTTATTAGAAATGTGCAATAGATTTAATAACTTTGACATATATTGGTTCTACATTACTTTACTAATAAATCTTGGAAAGCAAAAACAAATAGAAAGTATAACTTTTTTACCTAAACCGAACATCATACTTGCATGTAGCACCAGCTAGCCAATACCCCAAATGAAACAGTGCACTGCAGCCTGCAATGGCTATATGTATCCCTCAATTGTGCGGACGAAATTACAATGAAATATATAAAGCGACCAAATTAACCTCTAATAAACATGAACGTATACTTTAAATAGTGGGCAATCTTGTTGAATAAAAACAGTATCGTTTTGGACAACTTGCAGATTAATCATATTCACAAGTAGAACAATAAAATACAAAAGCTGAAGAATATATTTTGGCAATAGTATAGAAAATAGTGGCCTAATTAATATTTTACGACATTTATTTATCTACCATACATTAAATACTGTTATTTATTAGACTTATAAATTATTAAATATATAACATGAATCCTCCATCCCACATACATGCAAAGGTTGAGAACTTATTCTCTCATCTCAAAAGAAGTTCCTGATCACTTTTACAGCCATGCAACTATCGGTCGGTCTCCGATGCATTTTCTCTAGACAATAATCTTATTTTAAACCTCGTATAGATCATATATTATATACAGCGATACGAATGTGCGTACGTGGCATATTTTATACGAGAGGTTGTCTTTTGTATAGCACAATTTCCTAGCTACATCATATTCTCTCCCTTCCTATAAATATGAAAACTTAATTAGATGTATACATATATTCAAGTTGAGTAATTGTAGTATTACATATATAACATAAATCAAGATGGGTGGGTACAAGAAATCGTCAACGTTTTCAGTAATGAGAGCTTTGTTACCTTGCTGCTCTAACAGTGGAGAAGATTGGAGGGAAGAAGGGGTGATCATAAGGTCAAGAATCATGACCAGTGATGAAGATGGTCGGCTTTGGATCGCTGAGCCAGGGGTCGATAGAAGAGCCACTTCTTTTATATCTAGGTTCTACGAGAACCAAGTCTCTGATCCTAAATACAGAACCCTTACTCCTTGAGTTGTTTTACATGCTTTTCCACCTTTTTTGTTTCATGTTTTTATTTTATCTTGTGCTACTTCATGGTAAAATAACCTTATCATTCACTGTGTTTGTTATATTAACGTGTAATAGTTTTCGTTTTGTTCATTTATATAATAATATCAATAAGTAGATTCAAAGCTCATAAGGTTGCGCACCTTTCTCTCTAGTCAAAAAACTTCTCCTCCTTCTCACTAAAAACTCGTCATCGGATAAATGATTCAGGCCGGTGGGTTGGCTCCCTTAGCCACTGTCGGTTTGGTTCTGGTTGTTTTTCTCCTCCTTTTTCTTTATGTTTGTTAGTTTCTCATGGTCTTGTGTTCCCAATGAGCGAATCTTAATCTAGATCTTTAGATTTGGAGGTTCTTTCTGAGGAAGCGCATCTCCTTGTTTTCGCTAGCAAAAATATAGATCCTAGGGTTCGGGTTTTGTCTTTTGCCTCTTACCAAGGGATCTCTGGTTCAGGGGTTTGTTGGAATTAGCTGACCTAAAACATTTTTAGTGGAGATTCTTACCGTGGGGTTTTTAACGGAATACGAGAACATCCAAGAACTTTTAACTAAAAAAACTAAAAACTAATTTTTAAATATCTTAATTAAAAATTATTTCTTAATTTTTTAAATTAAATATTAAGAAGTGGGTTTTTATATTCCGCTGTAAAATCTTTGCATTGGAGATGATCTTAGTGTTTTTCTATGTATTATTCCTCCTTTGTTGTTATCATGAAATCCTTAGGATGAAAAATATATAATAATATTAGTGAGATTTGAGTTATCGGCTAGTAGGGCTGGGCAATCGGGGTCCCAATCGGATTTCGGTTCGGGTTCATTCGGGTTTCGGGTTTTCGGGTTCATGAATTTTAGCCCCATTCGGATATTATAAAAATTCGGGTCGGATTCGGTTCGGGTTTAGTCGGATTCGGTTCGGGTTTAGTAACATGTCCAAGATCCGGTTGAACCCGAACTAATTTCGGTTTCGGATACTAATCGGGTTATCGGTTCTAAAATACTAATTTATACTCAATTAAACTCACTATATTTTCAATCATTTTATTAAATTTGTATATTTAGCTTCTACAAACCATATTGTTCTCCTTCAAAATAATATTGTGAAACTCGTCTATCAACCAAATAAGATTTGTCATTGAACAATATGGTTTAGCATCTACAAACTATATTGTTCTCCTTCAAAATAATATTGTCATGATTAATGACAAACCAAAACCTTGTATGAACGAAATATTATACATAATGAAACATAAAAAATTAAAGTTAACAACTAACAATTATATAAACGTAAGAAGTACTATTTACACTTTTAAAAAAACAACATTATATAAACTTCAAAACAAATTTATTCGTAACTTAACTTCAAATGTAATGTCAATCATAAACATTAATAATAACCAAATAACACTATACATTAGACTAAATATTTGAGTTAATTATTTATATCATAACTAATTATTGTAGGTACTCAATAATATATTAATATGTTTTGGAAAACATATTAGAAATTTACATTGGATATGATACAAGTTTTTTAGGAGTTTTAAAGTTTCGGGTTCTTTCGGATATCCATTTAAGTTCGGGTTCGGTTCGGGTAATACCCATAACCCGAAATACCGTAAAACAAGATCCATTCGGTACTTATGTCAGGTTCGGATCGGTTCGGGTTCCTTTTTATCGTGCCGGATTCGGTTCGGATTTTCGGGTTCGGTTTTTTTGCCCAGCCCTATCGGCTAGCACTGTCTGTCTATAAAGAATTCTAACTGTATAAGGAAAATTAATAACATTTTGATCAAATTATAAGGAAGTTTCTAATTATATATGCGTACTGAGAAGAATGAAAGAATTTATATACGAAATTTGCAGATTACATTTCCGAGGGGAAAATGGCATATTCCTACCCAAACAATTTCAATCGTTCCAAATACAACTCGAACAAATATCCAGTGCCAAATACGACCTGAACTATGTTATAATTCAAAAATATTACCTGAACTTTTTAAAATGTGCCTAAACCTACATTGACCGTAACAGAAGTTAGTCAACCGTTAAAATGATAAAATGACGTCGGGAAAATGGCATATTCCTACCCAAACAATTTCAGTCGTGCCAAATACAACCCGAACAAACATCCAGTGCCAAATACGACTTGAACTACGTTATAATGCAAAAATACTACCTGGACTTTTTAAAACGTGCATAAACCTACATTGACCGTAATAGAAATTAGTCAACCGTTAAAATAATAAAACGACATTGTTTTGATTCTATTATTAAAAAAATGAACATTTCGGGACTCGAACCCGAGCTTTGTCACTATTTAAAACATACACATCAACCACTAGACTAAAGCAAATTTTTTTAAAAATACTACAGATTTGCAATTATATATACTACTATACTTTTTAATCTTCTCTAATTAAAACTTTTCTTATTATTATTTTTGATTCTTATAAATATATTAACATATTTTGTAATTAATATATCTTCAATAAACTTAATTATACTAAAATATAAATAATAAAATATTTATAATCATACAAGATTAAATATATTTCATGTTTTTCAACTATTTACAAAATGTACATATATAAATTATTTTAAATATAAAATAATGGTAATTTATTTTATTTTGGTAAAGTATATTCAGCTTATATTAATTTTAAGAAACAAAAGAAATTAACATTCAAGTTTTAAAATAATTTATATATGGACATTTTGTAAATAGTTTCAAAACATGAAATATATTTAATTTTGTATAATTATAAATATTTTATTATTTATATTTTAGTATTTATAAGTTTATTAAATATGTTAATATATTAATAAGAATCAAAAATAATAATAACCAAAATTTTAATTAGAGAAGATGAAAAAGTATAAAAGCATATATAATTGCAAATTTGTAGTATTATTTAAAAAAATTGTTTTAGTCTAGTGGTTGATATGTATGTTTTAAATAGTGGCAAGGTCCGGGTTCGAATCCTGGAATGTTCATATTTTAAAAAAAATAATGAAATCGAAACGACGTCGTTTTATCATTTTAACGGTTGACTAACTTCTGTTACGGTCAATGTAGGTTTAGGCACGTTTTAAAAAGTTCAGGTAGTATTTTTACATTATTACGTAGTTCAAGTCGTATTTGACACTGGATGTTTGTTCGGGTTGTATTTGGCACGATTGAAATTGTTTGGGTAGGAATAAGCCTTTTTTCGCGACGTCGTTTTATCATTTTAACGGTTAACTAACTTCTGTTACGGTCAATGTAGGTTTATGCACGTTTTAAAAAGTTCAGATAGTATTTTTGAATTATAACATAGTTCAGGTCGTATTTGGCATTGAATGTTTGTTCGGGTTGTATTTGGCACGATTGAAATTGTTTGGGTAGGAATAGACCCTTTTCCCCATTTCCGAGTGACATATGGCCCATAGATAATAATCACCAAAAGAAAATGAAAGATAATAAACCTATAGGCTAGGGGTGGGCACTTTATCCGATACCCGAACTCGTACCCGAACCCGACCCGAAATATCCGAACCGAAATCCGAACCGAAGTAGCAAAATACCCGAACGGATATTGAGTTAGGAGAGTTTGGATATCCGAACCCGAACGGGTATTACCCGAACCCGAACGGGTATCCGAAGATAACCGAACATATGTATATATACCTATTTATTCCTAGTTTATTTATCTCATTTTATTAAAAATATTTATATTAATGTTATATATAATTTAAGATCAGATAATATACATATAATTATAAAAAATAATAATTTGTTACTCATTTAAAATGTATATTAAGCTTCTTATTTCCTATTTTAAACAAAATTTGCATCCAAAATTCAAAATAACGACCAAAATAATGAATTTTATTTTCAATAATTTATTTTCAAAATTATTAATCGTCTAACTTATTAAACATTTTAAAAAACAGTTAAGTTAATAGTTAAATTTTAAATACATGAAACTTAAGTAATAAAGAATTTGAAATTTTCTTTCAAAATCTAAATATCCGAACCCGACCCGAAATAACCGAACCCGAACTAAAAATATCCGAACCCGACCCGATATGTAAAAATACCCGAACGGGTTCTATACCCCAATACCGAAATACCCGAAAACCCGAAATACCCGATCCGAACCCGAACGGGTACCCGAACGCCCACCCCTACTATAGGCTATAGACCAAAGTCCGTAAACAGTTGAAAAGCCCATGGACTTTCTTTCTCGTTTTAAATTTTGGGAACTTTTCCGGTTAGAGAAACCTTTCTAGAAAGATTTTGAATTTTCACTTAACTTCTTGTAGATGAATATTGATAACTGATTATATTTCACAACGACCTGGTTTCATCTTGTAAAATATATAACTATTGTATAGGTTTGTCCCTCATGAATCTTCTAATATACAGACTTGTTTACTCGTATGGTTATTATTGATTTATCGGCGTAACAAGTTCAAATTGGCCTAACACTTAGTTCAAGAACAAACATATATTATACACACATAACAACTTTTTTTCCAAAAAGAACAGGAGTTATGTACTTTAGACCCATAAATCCCATGGAGTCCGTTTTTGGAAGTTCTGATTTGAAAAATAAACTTACATCAAAAGAGGTTTGAATCTTAAACATGAAAAACCAACCATCTACGTAAGAATAGCGTTCCATAACAATTAGGAATATAATCAAAGTTTCTTTTCTTCAGAAACGTTAACACACAATTTAGTAGTACATACAATTTAGTAGTCAAAGCTTATATAGTCTTAACCTTAAAAACGTTTCACAAATATATGTTTAAAAATAATATAGAAGTGTGAAAGATAGAAAAAAGAAAGTCAGAGTTTGGGAGGCACCGGAAATTCGTACAAGTCACCTAATTTACGGACCGACCAAACCGCCACTCTCTTTTCACAGTCAACAACACATACAAACAAACTATTAAGCTCCATGTTTGGTACTTCTTCACTCTTTAGATTTGCCTTTTTAATTTTTTATTCGCTTATAACAGTGTTTCTTAATCTGACCGACCTAACATTTTGAGAAAAGATTGCAAATCCATACGGTCAAAAAATGGAACAATCCATCTGCGGTATGGCGTATATTCCATTCGGTTTATTTGCATCACCGTTCAAAGCTCTTCAATATTTTCTAAAAATATAAAATATATTTTATAAATGAATTCACATCTTGATGACAAAAAAAAAATGAAATACATCTAATCATCATGATTTAAATCCTGCAAACTGCAGGAATTTTTCTAGTTTTTCTTTAAATTATCATATCGAATATTCAAAATGGGATACAGAAAATAATAGAAAGATAAAGAAACCACATCTTTAAGTTATAACCAATAATTACTCCCCCCCCCCCCCCCTCCAAAAGGTTATAACCATTTGATTAAATACATCGTGTATTGAGGGCACCTCCGTATGTGTGATCATAGAACCACGAACCAAATCATGTTCTACAATATTTATATATTTTCTTGGCGTTAAAATATCAATTAAAAATTTGTGAGAAAGAGAAAAATAATTACGCACCAATGAGTTGAGTCTGTTGGCTGTCATGTGGGATGCTATAAACAAAATAAAGGAAGTGAGTCAGATTTTTATATTTCCAGAGAGATAAAATATAACTTATAAGAGATTTTAATTAAATAAAACAACAGATTCTATTGTAACGAGAAGATGATACATGCACTGACACTGTTCCTCTCATGCAAAAGATGCCTTTAATCTTTCTTCAAAAAATATGCTTTTAACGCATTTTGTTAACTTTAAAACCAAATATCAAAAAGAAGAAAATTGAAGCATTGCTTTTAAGCTACGTTAATTTTGCTACTCGGGTTACTTAAACTGAACATAAATGTACTATGTATCGTACATATGAAAAAGGGATCTTGAAATTTGGTGCGTCGTGCATACGGCTGAATTCAGAATGTTCAACCCGGTGCAAAAATTTGTTATCCAGTCAATCTGAAAATCGATAAATAAAAAATTAATTTAGTTTTCTTATATCGCATACATAATTGAATTTTTTAAAAATTGAATCAGTCGTATTCAAATTTAGATTAATAATTTTCTTATCAAAATGACTAAGTATCTTAATAGATTGAAAGAGCTTTATTAGAAATAAAATAGACATACCTTGGGAGGCATAAGAAATTCTTTTTTTTTTCCCTTACCCAGTCCTACTATGATATAAGCTTCTTCATTTACAATTGTATATAATTAGACAAAGCTATATAGCTGCATTATTTTCAATTATTTTGTTAAACTATTTAGTACTTTTAATCTTAATTTACAGGAAACCCAACTCAGTTCATATATTATAACAACCAACGGAAAATCCATGTTAAACAACTGCAGTTAATTAATTAAAAAAGTCAACAAAAGGTAAGGGATAATATTATCAAAGAAACAAAAGCTTGAGTGAACACAAAAATGAGAACACCATTTTTAGATATATGTATATCTAACGAGTAGAAAAAAAATTACATAAATATATACTATAATTTAAATACAAGATGTGTAGAGGGTAAGAGATAGAGAAGCAGAGGAACATGTGAAATCACATGGGCTATTGCTGACCAATCTGTGCCCACCTCAATCCTCTAATTCATTGGTCCTCCAAAATGTATACATTCTTACCGTTTTCTACCCACCTCAATCTTCTAACTAACTAGTACCAATTATTAATTTTTTTAATTTTCCCCTACACATATTTGTATAGGCTTCATAATCAGTATAACCATCTTTATCCAATATGTGCTTCAAAATAGTAAGTTATACAACCCAAACCGTACACCTTATTACACACATGTTTATCGCTCGATTATGAAATTATTCCTTTGCTCGAAAAGCAAAAAGTAAGAAATAGATGTAATAAGGTGGAGATGGGCACATCTAATAGAGTAGGGGAAGTGAATGGGAATGAGAAAGTGCAGTAACCATTTGATGATTAATTGTCAGTAGCAAGGAGTGGGAAAAGGCAAACTCTTGACTTCATCTGTTTCTCTCATATGTATTGATTTTTAGTTCGGTTTAATCCGGTTTGGTTATATAATACTACACAACTTGTTGATCTTGAATGTAAAAGGTAGTGATGGAAGATATCACGTGGGGAAGCATGTGGGAGGGTAAGGAGAGGCCTTAAACGAGGTTAAATGGATAACAAAAAGTAAAATAAAAGTGATGTTTCTTGGAACCTCTCATTGCGGATCTTGCCTCTCTCTCCCCTTTGCTTTAGCATTACTAATCACTCTTTAGTTTATTAATTAGTAACTGTTACTATAATATATTTTAAGGGAGAAGGTGTGTGTATAAATACACATAACAAGTCCTTCTCTAGCTCTCCAAATCCGAATCCCTGATTGGAAGGTTTCCTTTGTTTCAAGAATTTAGTAAACAAAATTCAAAAAAAATGGCATCATGGAAGAAAACAATAGCAACACCATTCAAGAAGGCAGCAACATTCTTCAACCAACCACAGCAATCTCCACGAAAGGGTTGCCGAATGGATGCAAAAGCGAGAGAAGAGCACGAGAGGAGGATGGTACAAGAGCTTCAAGGAGAAGTCATGGCTTGTGGTTACGATGATGTTCTTGTCATGTGGTCTATTCTCGACAAATCTAACTCCTCCAATAACCTCACTTCTTCTTAACCCCAAACCAAACACCAAACAAAAAAAAATGGTTTTCTTATCCGCTTTATGCACATATATCAAAAAGCGGTACTAGCCCCTCCATAGCAACCACCTCCTTCTCATCTTCCTTCTTATATTTTCTTATTTTGCGGTCATGCGTGGCTTCCTTTATAAGGTCTAGTGAATTTTTTTCTCGACGAATTATCGTCAAGAATTTGGAGATGTTTACTCTTTTTTTTTCTCTTTTTCTAATCCACGTGATTATGTCACGGTGGGATTTTTTTTTTAATTCTGGAGAAAAAAAAATGTCTTCATTTGAGTTCTATATCATTTGTATGAGATAACTGGTATAATTGTTTAAGAACTCAAGAGCTAGCTAGTTCTCCATAATGTAAAAGCCATGTATTGACCGAAGTTGCACATGTGTTAAATTATTAATCACAAGACCATAAAAGTCCATGGTATTGAGATTGGATTATGAAACTGTTGCAATGTAAACAGTATTCAAGTCACCGACAATTTTGTTTTTGTTTGGACCAACTAATTAGTCAAATATTATTGAAGTAAATTATGACAGATTGTTAATTTTTCAAAGGCAAGTAATCATCATTTTTTGTTGCCAAGAGGTAAGTAATGATCATCTTGTTCTATCATTCTCTTCCAAGTTAGTTTAGTAATACTTTTGCATGTTGAGTATACACACCCTATCCACTTAGTAAGTTAGTTTAGTAATACTTTTGCATGTTGAGTATACACACCCTATCCACTGAGTTGATGTACTTTCCTAACTTGGGACAGACATATAGAGAGTTAAAGGCTTGATCACGCTCATTACTTTTCTCAAGTCAACACAAAAGAAAACAATCCAGTCTCAAGTAGACCCAACTCTGTTGTAACCACAAAGAGCAAAGAATCTGCAAGGTATGAGTCAGACCAAAATTTGGAGCTGGGCATTGGTTTACTTTCTTTCTACAATCTCAGTTAGGTTTATTACCAGCCAAACCTATAACTAGACAAACAGGAAACACAAAAACTCAATATGAGTTAAGTAAGTACCCTAATCAAAGATAACAATATGTGTAGGTTAGAACTTAGAACTTATAGTATGATGATATATAACTACATAGAAGTTCAAAAAAAAAAATCAAAATTGTTGTATTCATCAATTTGATTCCCACAATGTAATACTCTGTTATTATTATTAACTACTCAAACCTCTGCCGATTCAGAAGGGCACAAGTACAACTCATAAATTCCACAGAACAAAAACTGATCAATAATCTCCACACAAGATTACAAAACTTACATCAAAAACAATAATTTTACTTCACAATAAAAAAACAATAATAATTAAGATGACAGCAGCTTGAGCTTAGAGGGGGGGACCCAATCATTGAACAAGCAAATAATAAAAAATAAAATTAGAAATAGAGAGAAGAGAATAGAAGCAAAGTACGACCGTATATCGACAGTAGGTTTAATGGTTGATGATGAGATCTTATTAAACTCACAAGTGGGGCATTTGATTATCACAACGTGCCTTGTCCTCTGAGTGAGTCTCTCCTAATTTTTTTTCTTCTTTTTTGTATACTCTCTCTCTGTAAAGATGCTCAAAGTTTGGGAAACATCTCAATCAAGAGATGGTCTCACTGAACTCTGCACACCTAACATGTCCATTTGAGGTAACCTCCATCTAACATTTATCATTCCACACCAACTTGTCCTTCACCTAGCCAAAGCTCAGACTTATCATACACATACACAACGGTCTCTGTTCTACCGGATGCATTGACTGATGAGATGAGTAAGTGTCTTATCAGATCTGAGTCTTATGTAATTTGTTGTAAGAATCCAATGATTCGAAGTGAATCAATTGAAGAAAAGTTATCCTAATATCAGAAGCTCGAGTTAACCATAGTACAACATCATTTGAGTTCGTGCTACTCTTCATTTTGTATACATGTACACGAAACTTTTCACCTTGCATGCCTCTCTTCTCTGGCTTCAAGGGCATCAACTTCCTCATTTGTTAGCAAATCCACCATTGGTTCATAAAAATCCAAGTCTTTCCTTTTCCTGTCAAGATCATGGACAAAACATTTGTTATAAAAAGAACTTGTCGTCACTTTTGCTATGTTTCACATGTCAATCTGTTAAACGGCAAATCTTATAATTCAAAAATATTATTCACTGCAGGAATAGATGTTCTCCAATCTCCACTAAGTTATTTTAGTAATCAACCTCATGTTTCCGATCATCTACTATAACAAACCCAAGAAGGACCATCTCCAAATCATGGGGATCATCTACTATCAATAACAAATGATACAAAATGTACGAAGATGTGCTATTTCAGCGTACAATATAAGACAAAGGCTCAGGATGTGTCAACGGATTAAAACTGTTTCAACTCATCTTATAAGCAATTTAGACACGAGCAGACAACCTTACAGCAAGTCTTAAGAAGACAGTTCACTAAGAAAATTTGAACATCAAGTGGAATCATGAAAATCACTTACCGAACTACACTGGACTTAAAGCTGAATAACTTCACTAAGTCCATTGACAAGCCACTTGCCTTACTGCACATAGAAGATGGATACTTATTAAAGAATTGTTAGAGCAAGCTCAACTATTACCAAAAGACAACGTTGATAGAAAATAGGAGCAACGTGTAGAGACCTCGCTGAACCATAATCAGATCCTCTGCGGCTTTTCTTGCTTAATCTACTCTCCCTAGCTGAACTCACACTTTGAACTGCAATCTGGAAAGTAGAAACAATGACATTATATACACTGGTGATTCAGAAAAAGAAACGAAAAATAGCTCAAGGATCCAAGCAGATATTTCACCTCGTAAAGCTGTTCTCTGATTGCAAATGCAACAGCAGGCTTTAGGAAAGAAAAAAGAGACCAAACATCACTTGTATCAAACATTTTAAACTGAACTTCGTTTAACTAACATAATAAAAAATGTGAATAATTGAGGGGTTATCTTACCCCAACTTCGGGATCTTCAACACCTAAATCCTTGCACAAGGTTCGTGCAAATTCCTCAGGATCACTCTCAAAATTGTTTAGGTCCTGCAATGGCCAAGCCAAGCTACATTTGGTTCCACGAGTACACTAATCATGGTTGAAACTATTAATGATCACCACAAGTATTCTCACCCACAAGAACTGATCCTTGATGAGGGTTTGGTTAACTCGGAGATCAAGCTGAAAAAGAAAAGAAAATACACCTCATCAGCTTCTAGACATTCTTCTTTGCCCAGAAAAACACTCATGGACAAAAGAAAGAGAGAGAGAGAGAAAACAAGGCATAAAAACCTTGATTGGTATGATCTTTTCACCAGTGTACATATCTTGTCCTTCATATGCTCGAAAGTCTGCAAGCTGAGACTGATAAAGCAGGACAACTAACCAACGTGAGCAAAGATTCCTCTTACAAAAGAAAAAAAAAAACAGAACAGAGCATAGCACAACCGAAGCAAAAAGAAAGCAGTCTAGAGATAAAACATAAATAGTACATGCAATGCTACAAACCTAAACAGCTGGAACCAATAAGTAACATGTGACTAGTGTAACAGAACTTAGTAAAACCTCCCACACATTCAACCACTCTCACAATGATCTCAAGAGTGTAAACACAAGTAATAAACAGAGAAGGTCCAAACCTGAATAGATTGAGAAATCTGAGTGATGAAAGCTTGTGGAAGTTTCAAGTCTTTAACAGTCCTTCTAGCGAAGATAACGATCTCATTATCCGGATCTTAATCCAAAAACACACAAAAAATTCACCTTTATCACATTCCAACAAGAAGATAGAAACCAAAGTTAGGGTTTTTAAAGAGAAAAACCTGAAGGGTTCCAAGTGAAAGCATCTTTGTAACGCTGACCCTCGTATTGAATGTCTAATCGAATCGGTACCAAGTTCTCAGCTGTAGGCCTAAGCTCTCCATGAATGAGAGGTCAGTTAGTAATAGCAGAAAGCTAATATTAACACATAAACTCGATTCAAAGAAGAAGAAGAGATGGAACTTACATTCTGAACTTGACGGGACCTTTCCAACCGGTAGACCCTGAACCCTTCATTCTCCGATTCAATTTTGTACGAAGGATGAGAACCAGAGAGACGACGAGAAGTTGGGGGGCAATTTTCAATTTCTTTTATTTTTCGGCGATGCGGTAATATTATTATAGTTTTATTTCAGAACCGCCCTTATATTATTATAACTGTTGCACATTTCACCCCTATCTATTTTATGTGTACATTACGAATTATATGAAATTTAGGGCCGTCTTATATGGGCCTTGAGATGGGCTTATTGAATCAACAAGAGAGAGAGAGAATCAATCTCTTTCTCTCTCTTTGTTACATGTTCGTGCTCCCAACAACAACAACGTTCGTGTGTTTCTTCATGGTGATGTACACATCCGAAGGATACACGATTGCAAAACATGTAAAAAAAGTCGTTGGATATTGTGTTTTATTTATATGTGGAAAAAAAAAACACACTCATAGGTGTTAAATAAATATATGCATCAATCAATCCTCCAAGTTCTTTAAGACCTTTGTTGCTGATATGCAGCAAGAGGTTTGTTCCACATGTATAGACTCTTCATCAATGCCTAAATCTCCCAAAACTGTGGAAACAGAGTTTTAACACCTCTCTGGTCTTGTGATCTTCAATCTTCTCACGGTTTCAAGAAACATACTGAACCAAAAAAAAACATCGAACCAAAAGTCAGTGATGCATATACCAAACATGGAAAACTATAATGTATGTGAGATTCAAGATTCTTACTCCCATGGAATGTCACCGACCATCATCCAATCTCCATCTTTGTCTTGATACGTCAAAACGTGGTGTTTTCTATCTCGTGAACCGCCTGTTAAAACAAAAGACATCTTATAAAACATTCTTCAAAGTGTGCGGATTTAGTTAAATGTTATGTTCCAAGACTTTTACTTACAGATAACTGAAGTATCGAACATGTGAGACAGATATTCTAACATACTCTCGTAGCCTGAGAATGTGGAAAGATTGAGCTTTCTCCCAATGGGGACACCTTCCATATAAACCTTGACAAAGAGAGCTGTGTTGTAACCGCGTTGACGATGACGAAGACTCTTTAGTGTGTCTCTTAAACGAGGTTTTATAGGGGGCCAATCTTGACTTGTCTCTCTACAAAGCAAACACAAGCAAATCTTCAAATGTGAACTTAAAAACAGAGCAAAAACAGAACAGAAGAACAGAGTTGTGATGTGAAGATGACCTTTGTGAAGAAGTAGAAGGAAAGGTGAGGCTAAGGGAGAGATTAACAGAAGATTCAGAAGGTGAAGGCTTAGTACTGTCAACAGAGGATGAGGAATAAGAATTCTCCATTGATGAGACCTTGAAGCTGTGTAACCTCTCACCTACAACTATAACTTCATGATTCCTTATATTCTCCCTTGAGAGTGCTCTTCATGTCTCTCTCTTTCTCTCTTTCTATATCTGTTTAGTAAACAAATTAGAGACTAGCAGGTGTTGAGATTACATAGGTTTATTTTAAAACGATTTATTCATTTTTGTTTAATTTTATTGTAAATAAATATTAGTTAGAAGCTAAAGAGTTCCCCCACTTTAATTATGAACTTTTAAACATTTTCTATATATGAACACACATGATTTTTGATAACCACTGTGATAATTACCTGTTTAGATAATAAATTAACATGTTTAGATCTTGAAGCTTGTTAATAGTAAAACACAAGATTATGGTTTTGACATTGTTTACATGTAAGATTCGAAGTTTCCATAAAAAGGATGAATCCAATGAAGGTGTGTTCAGATGGTGTTGGAGCTAAAGTGTTAAGGCTTTGATTTTAATTTCTCAACAGCTCAGATTCTTTAATTAGGAGAGATAAAGGACCAAAAGGCTTTATTGTCTAGCCTTAAACAGAAACTGAGCATCACATCACTTTCACTTTCCTACATCAATATTTGAAAACCGAGTCTATAGACTATGAGCTTGTGCATCAATTTTAGACCATTCTGTTGATATGAAAACTCATTTGTCGCTGTGACACATTAATGTTACAGACCATAGAAAATTGCGGAACCAATAAAAATAAAGAAGACCTGAAGAGTTTTGTGTAAGTTGTTTTTGTGGAGCAGACAGTGTTCTTTTCTTTAACTATACGTTTTCTGTTAATGTCTCTTTAGCTTTCTGGCTTGTCTCTCTTAGGAGCCCAGTCTTTTTACCTTTTGTTTTCAAAATACATTCATTAATTTACAATAACTAAAAAGTGTTCATTGGCTGTTTTGATAATAATATTAGATCTTTGAGTCATCATGTGAAGTATAACAGTGTATTCTAATAGTTGCTTTGTTATAAAGCCTACCTTGAATGTTGGATCGTTAAGACTCCTATGAGTAATTTTACGACCTGTCTTTGGACATGCATGTCTGCTCCCTAGGGATCCTTATTGTGAGAATTTCAATATAATTAACTTTATAATGTCTAGTAGTCTAATGATGAATGCCTAATCCTCTTTATACTTGTAATTATTCAGTAATACAATAAATTATCAATTATTCATATATAAGTCAATATAATTCATCAAGTAACAAAAACAAAACCCTTTTTATTTGGAAAGAGATCCAAAACTTGCCATAACTCTTATATATGAGGACCAATCTCATGCATGTGCATGCAAACAAGAAAATAACTACCGTAAGGTTTGTAGATTGATTACATCTTTGTGACTCTCAGAGATTAGACGTTTTACGGAAGTAATAGAGAGAGGCATGCAATAGGATTGTACCAAAAAGTTATAGCAAGGGAGAGCACTATGATGAGATGTACTCCTAAATTAACGTGGCATGTTCATGCATAGACCAGCTGCAATCATATCTCCACGTTTGCAAACAACTTCATATAATCAAATCATATGTATAGTCCTACAAACAAAATGAATGTCTGCTAGCTGCTAATGAAAATCAATCATTTGGATAGTACTTCGTCAAAAAGTGATCAAATTATTTTAGTTAGATTTAAGGCACGGGGTCCTTTGGTTGATACACATACTCATCACTCGTGAGTCATGGTCCAATTTAAAGAAGAAAACGAATAAAAAGAGAACAAACAAAAGGTCGGTAATGTGTCCAGGACGACATAGATTGGTTGACAGGCATTGTTTTTTTTTAAAATTTGTATTAGTCCTAAATCCTGAAAGATAGTACGACAAAAAGTTTATGTATGTTAATTTTGTCTAATAGTATATCCAAGAATGCTAAAGAAGATTATTTTAACAAGCATTAATAATTCACCAACAGAGATATTAAATATTTTTTTCCTTCTCAAATGACAATTCTGATCATTATTAAACACGCCAGAAGCTCAGAAATCCAACATTTGATCCAGCCATCTAGGCTTGGTTCTAGTCACAAGTCCGTGTCTCAATGTTAGCCTGTTGGGGAAGGGACTACTAGATTATGAAAATGACTAAACCTGTTAGGGCATACACATCAATGAATTGAGAAAAAGAATTCAATTTTTTTTTTATTAAAAAAAAAGTTAAATAAATGAATTAATCGTGGATCACCACTTGGCGTGGAACCCATGAAATATTGATAACACGGAGTCATTGCACTGAACTTTTGCAAGACGAGTTCATGAGAATTTAATATTTATAATGTTTTTTTTAGGATATGTGAGAACTCCCCCACAAATTCATTAATGTATATGCTCTTAGCTAACCTATAGTACTATATGATTATAAAATTTTGCTACAAACCCTGAAAATTGCTACAAACCCTGAAAATTGCTACAAAACCTGAAGTCTTTATAATGGTAAAAGGAATTAGGAAATTTTCATGTATAAAAAAAGAGCCTGGAAATTTTAATTCCTTCTACCATTGTATTAATTACCAATAAAATTTATAAGCAATAAGGTATGGTCTAGTGGTTTGTTTGTGTGTGTAGTGAACTCGCTCGTCACATGGATAAAGACTAGGAACCGAGTTCCACAATTTACCAAGATGCTTGTGTTTACTTTGAGTGGCAAGAATCTACAAGCCTTGGGGCTTGGGAGTAGTCTGATTTTAGTCCGGAATCCATCCTATTATTTTAAAACAATGCAAATAGTGTAAATTAAGTTCTCAAAAGCAAGGAAAAGAAACCAAACGAGGTATATATCAGTTATCAGATTATCATCAATATATGGCTACATGATGAGTGTGTTGTGCATGCCTTATACGCCATGCAAACAAATACACGCACATAGTCTCTGACTTTGTCTGGATGTACGTCTGTATTGTTCTAGACAGCAATTATGGTCTTAAAACCCACACGCTCTGTCGATAAAGCTTTGTTTCCATAAGAAAATCATGAACAAAGACCATAAAAGCAAAAAACAGAACAATCAATTGTGGTCTCAATCAAAGACTTTAAAATCTCAATCAGGTATATATAGTGTAAACGAAGAATCGAAGATACATTAATATATGCGCTGCTAGTTTAGACCATTGGACCGAGAGAGACTCATGCATTTGTGGTCTTGCATGAACATACGTGTTCTTTTAAAAGCCAAACATAACATTTTCTAAGACTTTTACGTTAATATGAGTTTGCAGAGTTATACGGTGTTTTGATTGGTTTGAGACTTTGCTGTGGTCCCAAAGAAGATAAAGAGAAGCCATTTCATTGGTTCGATATTCTCTTTAACAACATCTTACTCTGGTCTTCAGCAAAATCTGAAAAGACAAGTAAAGTATATCGATGTCTCTTCAACAACCCAATGGGAACTCGAGTTCCTCTTCTTCCCCCAAGAAGCACAAAACTGGTAGTTGTTTACTCCTTTTATTTTATTTTTTGCTTTTGCGTTTTATTTTGGGTTTTGAGAAAATTGGTCTTGTGTAATTTTCAGAGGAGAGTGACGAGGAGGAGTTGTTGATGGTTCCTGACATGGAAGCAGCTGGATCAACATGTGTTCTAAGCAGCAATCCGGAGACTGACCAGACCCAAAATGAAACTTCAACGGCCAAGCGCAGCCGTGGACGAAACCCTGTTGATAAAGAACACAGAAGCCTCAAAAGGTATCATCACTAATAAGGCATTTACGCAATTGAAATGTGAAAGAAGATAAAGTGATAATGAACGTGTGTTGTTTTGGTATGGAAATAAACAGATTGTTGAGGAATAGAGTATCGGCACAAGAAGCGAGGGAGAGGAAGAAAGTGTACGTGAGTGATATGGAATTAAGAGCTAATGAGTTGCAGAACAACAATGAGCAGCTTGAGGAGAAGATATCCACTCTGATGAATGAGAACACAATGCTTCGCAAAATGCTTATTAACACTAGGCCTAAAGCTGATGATACTCACTAAGAGGAGAAGAATAATCTTTTAACTTATCCAGTGTTTAAAAAAAAAAAAATCCTATAACTTATCCATTGCAATGTTGTATGTTTATCTCTTTTTTTTTCGTGTATACAAATAACATTCACTTTGAGCATAACCTTGTCTCTCCAAAAATGATGTTTTTAAAATCGGTTGATAATCAAATGAAGAAAGAAAAGGTAAAAACTTCTGTTTAATCTAAGAAAGACAAAAGGTAAAGTTTTAAAGAGAGTTTAAAATAGACAACACGGTGGGTCCCACGTGTTATATGTGAGACGTGTAAAAGAAGCGTCTGGAGAATTTGTTTTCGTAGAGACCAAACTGCTACATGTAATAAAAAGAATTTGAGAGAGATTTTGAAGAAGAAGCAAAGAATAATCTCGAAGCAATGTCGTATTCTGTTGAAGGGAGAAGAAGAGCAAGCGGAGGAATGCTTCCGCTGCTTGCGCTCAGCACCGTCGCTGAGTACTACAGGCTACCGTGGAAACCGCCGGTTACGGCGGGTCTATTAGCCGCCAACACACTCATCTATCTCAGACCGGCGTTTATCGATCAGATTCTCCCTCACATCAATGAGGTCTGGTTCAATCCAAACCTCATCCTCAAGGTAAAAAAAAACAATTCTGGAGACTTTATTAGAAGAATCCAAAGTTTGTGTCTTTTCTTGCAATTTGTGTTAACTTTTGTTTTTCTTGCTGTGTGTGTTGTGCTGAACATAGCACAAGGACTTGAAACGTTTCTTTCTATCACCGTTCTACCATCTAGACGAGCCTCACTTAGTCTACAACATGATGTCTCTTCTCTGGAAAGGTATAAAACTCGAGACATCCATGGGAAGCAGCGAGTTCGCTTCAATGGTCTTTACACTTCTCGGTATGTCACAAGGAGTTACATTGCTTTTAGCCAAAACCCTCCACGTCTTCTTAGACTACGAAAGACCGTATTACAATGAGTATTCTGTGGGATTCTCTGGCGTCATCTTTGCTTTGAAAGTTGTTCTAAATGCTCAGGATGAGGATTATACTAGCGTGTATGGTATCATAGTTCCGACCAAGTATGCTGCTTGGGCAGAGTTGGTTTTAGTGCAGATGTTTATGCCTAGTGCTTCGTTTCTTGGGCATTTAGGTGGGATTCTTGCTGGTATTCTCTATTTGAAGATTAAGAGTTCTTCTCACTCAGGTTTAGACCCTGTGGCTATGGTGGTTAAAGGGGTTACTTGGCCGTTGAGGTTTCTGAGCAGTATGGTTAGGTCTCGGAGGAGGAGGATATCAGGGAGAGGAAGAGTTGGGAGAGGACCTGGTATATGGAGATGCCAGTCGTGTACTTATGACAATTCTGGTTGGCGAAGTGTTTGTGAGATGTGTGGTTTGGGACGGGGTAGAGGAAACGGATGGTCAGTGAACCAGGGACAGACACATTCTTCTTGGTCTAGTGATATTCCTTTAGATGAGCTGCGTCGTCGAAGAGTAGAGAGGTTTAGTTAATCTTGTGGGACTGTGAATGAAGCTTAAGCTGGATTCATTCATTGCATTATCATATGATTGTAGAGCTTAGTGGTGTTTCTTCAATGTATATTCTCTTTTCATGTGTTTTATAGATGGTGGAATTACAAATAGTGTTGGCATAATGAATATGTAACTAACTAAACCAGATGTGTGAATCTCCACCTTTTAAAATTCATGAAAAGAGATAACGGTGTCATGAGATTGATGGACATGAAAAAAAAGATATTGTCAGTTCAATACCGAATTGATTAAATTTAGTGCAATGTAAACATGTAGAAATTATAATAGAATCAATCAAGTTTATATTTGCTGATGTCCATTATTAAATTCGTTTCTACAAAAAAATTATGAATTTACTTGTTGCTCAAGTTTTACTTGTTTCCAAGATTATTCTTCAAGTTTTACTAATAAGTTTCCAAAAAAGAAACTTGCTTGTTATATTCCTAAGGTAAAGTATATATTTGATCCTATAATTATCGGAGCTATACATTTTAGTAGCTAAAATCGAAAACAAAAGGCCTAATGGCTCCTCCGCAAGCTAGGCTTCCATGGGAGCTGGAAGAAGAAATACTCACTCGTCTTCCAACTAAAGTTCTCGTTCGATTCAGAACCGTATGCAGACAATGGAACTCTCTTTTCGACAACAGGAGTTTCATCTACAACCACTTGTCTCTCCCCCGTCCTCAGTTCATCCTCCTGACCAAGTACAAGGTTTATTCCATAGACTTCACCGACCCAACTATAAAGTTGTGTGTGGTAAACTCCTATCCCCTAATTGGTTTAACTTTGCAAAACGCAAACATCACTACATGCGATGAGTTCTTGTTTTGTAACTATCCACGCCCTTGGGAGAAGGGGGCAGCTCTCTGGAATCCGTGGCTGAAACAGTTTAAGTGGAAGAAGTTGGTTTTGGACAAACACTTCGATGTTTTTGGGTTAGGATACGACAGTAGTAGTAGACCTAATGAAAAGGTTTACAAGATGTTAGGGTATATGAGGTGTCCTCCCAAAGTCGAGAGAAATGGCTACCTCACGAAAGTTGTGGACAGAGTTTACAAGATGTTGGATTATTTTAAAAGTCCACCCAAAGATCAGAGAAATGAATACCCACGTAGAGTTGCTATATACGAGTGTGCGTCTCAAACGTTGAGGTTTATTGATACACCTCATGACGAGGACATGCCTATATGTGAAACAGCTAAAAGGTCACATGTCTCTTTGAATGGAACTTTGTATTGGATTGATTACAGTCGTCACACTCGTGACTATTTCATCCAAAGCTTTGATTTCTCTAGGGAGATTTTCAAACCTGTTTGTCTTCTTCCTTTTCAAGAAAGCCCTTCTTGTGATGAGCATGTCCTCGCGGTTTTTAAAGGAGATCGGTTTTCGTTGCTGAGGCAATGCTATTTGACAAGGAAGATTGAGATTTGGGTAACAAAGAGGATGATTGATGATAGAGAGGAAGTGGTGTGGATGAAGTTTATGACTCTGACAGCAACTAACTTGCCAAAGTTGTTTAATAAGCTTTATGGTGTTAGTTACTTCATCTATGAGAAGACTCTAGTTATGTGTTGTGGCGACGATGTAAGTGGACAGCCTTGCATCTATATTGTGAAGGGAGGTACTTGCAGTAAGATTAAAATAGTTTCTGGGATCACTTGGTTTTCTCACTGTGCCTATGTTCCAAATTGGACATCGGTTCCTTTAGAGTTTTAGATTGCGTGAATTGCAAGTCTAGTATTATCAGGGTTTTCTTTTCTTTAAGTTCGTGCCCTGTCCTTTGTTTTATTTCAAACTTGATGTGCATTTTGGAAGCTTTAAGTCCCAGTTTGATATAAACATGCAACAAAAAGCTTCTATGAACGATCTTTCTTGGATGATAGAGACTTATAATTAATTTTGATTTGGAGATTAAGGATTATGCGAGACTTGTTGGAATTTCAATTTGTAGCGTTAGGTGAATAGAGTTTATTACATGTATCTTCTGCAGAAGACCTTTTAATAAGCCTAGAGGATTTCATTTCCACACCAAGGAATAATACTACTTAATATTGACATGGGTGTTCTAAGTTCTAACTAACAATTAGATGTTTTTGGACTTGGTTACAACTTACAAGCATCCAAACTGTTTATATTGAAGTCAATATCTATAGGTGATATTATTGAAACTTTCATGTGTTCGTATATGTGCTAGTTTAGTTGAGTAACCGAATTTCAAACACATTTGTCGGTAACCAAAGTTTCAAAAGACTTTTAATCGTGTGCAGGGCTGGCCGTGTGTTATTACCATTACAAATTCAACCAATACTGAATACTTGCTGGTATTCTCATACAATTAAAAAATATAACTAAAATAAATGTATGTTATTAACAGTTACATCTATTTAACCAATGATGTTAAAAAAATAAAAATATTTCTAAAATCAGTAAATTTTGTAGTCAGTATTAAATTTAAAATGTGTATAAATTATATTGAAAGTCTAAAGTAACAAAATGATATTTTGTGAAAGAGCTGAAGACTGAAGTATAATGTAAGGAAATCAAACAAACCAAGTTTTATTATTATTTTTTGAATATTTCTGATAACTTTTTATGTATATCTAAAACTAAATCGAACTTGACGTTCAGGATTAGATAAATCTGCTCCATGTTTGAGTTACCTCCTCAAAGGAGTTTTGAATGCAAAAAGAGAACACAACCGCCAATATCACCGACAAGAGAAAAGAGGCGTAATAAATTAACAAACACATTTTCTAACAAGAATCCATAACGTTAACATTCACTCACTATCACACACTCTCTCTGACTTCATTATTACCTTCTCTCACACGCGCTCTCCTCTCTCCCTCTCTTTAAATACAAAACATTCTCACCATACTTCAAAAAGAAAGAAGAAACTCAGAGTAAAAAAAAATACATCAAAACATGAACTACACTTTCTTCTTACTTCTCCTCACTCTCGTCCACTCCACTTCCTCTTCTTTAGCTCCAACAGACCGAACCGCACTTAAATCCATCAGAGACTCCTTAACCGACATGCCCGGTTCAGCCTTCTTCTCAACTTGGGACTTCACAACCCCTGACCCTTGCTCCACCTTCTCAGGCCTCACTTGCACTTCTCTCGGCCGTGTCTCCGTCTTATCTCTCGGCCCAAACCTCTCCGGTTCACTATCACCTTCCATCTCAAACCTAACCCATTTGACCCAACTCGTTCTCTACCCCGGTTTAGTCACCGGACCACTCCCTCCCCGGTTCGACACCCTCCCTCTCCTTCGTCTCATTTCCTTAACCAGAAACCGCTTAACCGGTCCTATACCAAACTCTTTCTCATCTCTTTCATACCTCCACACTCTTGACCTCAGCTATAACCAACTCTCAGGCTCTCTCCCTCCGTTTCTCACCACACTTCCTCGTCTCAAAGTCATTGTCTTAGCCTCAAACCGTTTCTCCGACAACGTTAAACCCGTCTCTAGCCCTTTGTTCCATCTAGACCTAAAGATGAACCAAATCTCCGGCCAACTCCCACCTTCTTTCCCCATCACTCTCCGGTACTTATCTCTCTCCGGAAACTCAATCTCCGGCACGATCACCCCCTTACAGCCATTAACAGACTTAACATTCATCGATCTCAGCATGAACCAGTTCACCGGAGCGATCCCACAATCACTCTTCGGATCCACAACCTCATCAATATTCTTACAACGAAACAACTTCACATCCATCAACGCCACGTCATCGTTGTTACCTCAAGGCTCCGTCGTTGATCTGAGCCATAACTCTATCTCCGGTGAGTTACCTCCTTCCCTCGCCGGAGCAGAGTCTCTGTTCTTGAACAACAACCGTTTCACAGGAGATATTCCGGAGGAATACATCACGAGCTTGATCAACGGTACGATCAAAACGCTGTTTTTGCAACATAACTACTTAACGAGATTCCCGTGGAACTCTGGTTTTGAATTACCAGACTCTGTTTCGCTCTGTTTGTCGTATAACTGTATGGATACGGATCCAGTCGTAGGTTTGTCCACGTGTCCGATAGAGGTTGCGCCTCTGCTCTCAAGACCTGCTATACAATGTTCTCGCTTTTACAATCACAGCTCCACTGGTTAAAGATCAGTTTCTTTTTTTGTTTGGGGAGAAAATTGCCAAAAATGAGATTTTTAGAAATTGAACCGTTGTGTCTTGTTGTGTTTTCTTATAGCAAAAATCTAAAAGTGTGGTCCTCACGTGTAAATTAGATTATAGTGTTTATGGAATATATACTATTATTTACAGATTTGTCATTTTTCCCTAGTTTTGTTTGTATTTTTCATTTTAAATTGAGTTGCATGTGCCATTTGGAAGAGGAAAATACAGACACCATTGGTTTTTCAGATATTTTGTTTGCTTCTCTTCAACTAGTATTATCTTGTAATGAAAAACGGTTGAAAAATGTATTCACTGGGTTGTTCTGGAGAGCACTCAAGTTACCGTTAATAAAAAAAGATATTTATAACTTATAAGATCCAAGTTTGTTGGATATGGATGAGTTGAGAATTTGTTTAGAAGCCTAATCCAGACGAGTGACTGTTTACAGACATAGAATTTGTCAGAATTTGAAGTAATAAAGCTGACTTAACAAAAAAAAAGCATAAAGCTATCTGATTTGTCAGAATGATTAAAAGGGAGTCCGAGTTAAATCATTTGAACTTTGATTTTCCGTTCAAATAATAGCATGAGAAAGGAAGGATTCAGAACATAAAGACAGTTTTTGCACTGATCCATTAAGCTAAGAAGAGAGGAGAAACTAACCTGAGGAAAATTAAAGTAGAGGACAAGGTTTTTGGTGGAGATCGCCGGTTATGGCGCCGGACCGGAGAAGGGAACCGATAAATCGGGATTTCATTTTAGTCTCTTCCTCTGCTGCTTTGACCCTTCACTTTCTCCCAACTTCTTCTCCTCAGATTATTAATTGTTTTCTTAATTAAACAAAAATAGTGAGAGAGAGAGGAGAGGGAGAGATGAGGTGTCGTAGTCACAGATATAAAAGGGTAGGAGAAACCGTCACCCTTCTTCTTCTCTCTTTGATCTTTCCCTCTTGTCTCCTTCAAATCCGTTCTCCCTTGAGATCATTTTCCTTCTCTATTACACAAACTTTTATTTCATTTTTTAATTGTTTCCTTCTCTCCCTCTCTATCTCTCTCTTCTCTCATCAGAATGAACGGAAAGGCCTCTGTTTCCAAGGAGCTCAACGCCAAGCATTCCAAGGTCCCTCTTTGTTTTCCTCCCATCTTTTTTTTATTTTCACCATTAAAAGGTTACGTTCTTACTGTGTGTGTGTGTGTGTGGGGGGTTACTACAGATATTGGAAGCACTTTTAAAGCATCCAGACAATCGAGAATGTGCAGATTGTAGATCAAAGTAAGGATCAGCATGATACTACCATTTTTCTTCATTCAACATAATGATTATAGGCCTTTCATGTGTTGTTTGTTTGATGATCCATCTCTATTTTTTACAGGGCACCAAGATGGGCTAGTGTGAACCTTGGGATATTCATATGTATGCAATGCTCTGGAATCCATCGCAGCCTTGGTGTCCACATCTCTCAGGTTTTTACCATTTCTTCTTCACATTAATTGGTTATGTTGTAACAACATATGTCATACAGATTAGTGATGTCACATTTTTTTCCTTTTGGTTGTGGAAACAGGTAAGGTCTATAACTCTGGATACATGGCTTCCTGATCAGGTTGCTTTCATGCAATGTAAGCTCCACTCTTTTGTATATGTAATGAAACCCATTCATTCAGTTGTTGCAGTTCAATCATATTTTGCTTGATAATTCTTGTTCTAGCTACCGGTAATGCTAAAGCAAATCAGTATTGGGAATCAGAACTGCCTCCTCATTTTGAGAGAAGCTCAAGCGACGCATTTATAAGAGCCAAGTAATTGATTCTTTGCTATGCTATTAAGTTTTTACTGTATCCTCATCTGCTACAACACAATCTAAAGCTTTTGCTTTTCTTCTGTTTGTGTTTTCTTAGATACGATGAGAAGAAATGGGCTTCACGGGGAGGGATACAACCGGCTCCTGTAGGTAACCAGCTAAGCTGCAAAGTTAGTCACTTGGCAGAGAGAGGACATAAACCAGAAACTCCAACGAAAATAAGAACTCGTTCCCTTGATGAAGATTTCCTTCTTAAGCATGTTCTTGAAGTTACACCACCAGAAACAAGAATCCGTGCGGTATGGTATCTCACAAGATTGACTTAGAAAGATCTTGAATCATTTTTATTTTAAACTCTTTCTACAATGCAGGGTTCGGTAGATATGAAGATGAACGATAATGTATATGTTCTTCCTCTACCAGTGGGGATAGATGTTAAGAAACCAAAACAAAAGAATGAGATTTTCTCCCAGAATAGAAGAACCACTATAGCACCACCCTCGAGCTGGGCTACTTTTGACTGTAAGGCTAAAGATTTGGGACTTTCTTACTTTTATCTTACTGTTAAATGTTATCTGTTGATTCTAAATCTATAACATGTGAATGACACAGGAGGAAAAGAAGGGATGAAGAAGGAGACGATGGAGCTTTTGTGATATGAAACACATCATCATGTGGGCTTTTAATTATGGTCAACAGGTTGGCAAAGATGGGGTTATGATGAACTCAAAAGTCAACAATGAAAGTAGTTCTGTTTTCTATTTTTTTTTTTATCTTTCTTTATATTTTTCTATATACAATTTTGGTTGCTTGTAACTAAATTATTAAAGTACAACGGTAGAGGGACATCTTGGACCAAAAGAAAAAGCAATACAAGGCACCACCAATGTGTATTATTTTGAATTGTTGTACAAGCAACATCAATTGATTGGTCCATAATGATTGCAACATTCACTTTTCTCAATATCTCATCTAATGATTGCTTCTTATTATCTACTCCATGAACTTTATTCCTTTTCTTGCTTTGGTTATGTATGATTCAAGGAAGGACTTATTGAGTAGATATGTAAATTCTTCCGAGAGGAGAGTGGCCCAAATGGTTTTGTAAGTCTGATACCTAAGAAGTTTAAGTTTTTAGTACAAGGTGTTTGTTCATAGGTGCAGGAGCTTTAGAGAGGGTGGATTATGTGACTGCTCTAGCTTTTTTGGCACCGGAAAGTACACACTACATTATGGGTTCTTAAAAAACCAACACAATGATATCGACCCACACGTATGATTTTGATGATGTCTCCTTACCTGCTTATGTATATGTTCAAAGGTCGATAGTGAGAACTGTAGTATGTTATATTACCTGGTTTCGTCTTCAATCTTCATGGTTATCATGTTTTGCACACTTAGAGAAATGCCCACATCTTGTTTCTTTTCAGTCTACTAGTACTTTAGGAAGACATGTAAATGCAACTTCTGTTAGTTTAAATATATGGATAATACACACTTTTACAGCTTCACACTGTAAAATGGTTATATCTTGGTTTTGGTTCCATCGGAGACCGAACCGGTTTTAAACACCGAATATTCGAATAAAGTGTGTATCCATCTTACACATTGCGAGATGCAAAATGGTTGTATCTTGGTTTAAACCCCGAATATTCGAATTTACATGTCTTGGTTTATCTCAGGCGCGAATCTTTAGTCGAATAAACCAAGATACAAACTTCAATCAAATCGAACCGGATTTAAAATTCCGGTTTATCTCAGGCGCGCATCTTAAACCGAATTAAAAAAACTCTTCTCGTCCTCCTCGATACTCTCTCCTCCTTATCGCCATGGCCTCCGTCGCTTTACCAACGTTCACCTGCCGGAGCTCAGGCGAACCGACGAAGGAGCTTCGCGTCTGCACAAACCGCACCTGCCGAAAACAAGGCTCATTCCAAATCCTCGAGACGTTAACCTCCCTCGCACCTCCCCAACTCCAAGTCAATCCCTGCGGTTGCCTCGGCCGTTGCGGCTCAGGCCCGAACCTCGTCGCTCTCCCTCAAGGTATCTTCCTTCGTCACTGCGCCACTCCTTCTCGAGCTGCTGAGATCCTGTTCAGCCTATGCGGCGATGGCCGGAGAGCTTCTTCTTCTTCCTCGGCCGTTACAGACGCTCTCGCCGCTTTAGCGCTAACAAACAATGCTCTCTCTCAGATCGAATCTGGAAAATTCGAAGAAGCTGAATCACTTCTCACACAGGTTATCGTAGATATGTATATGGGAAGGTTATAATTGTAATTAGCTTAGACCTAGATTCGTAATCCTCTTGCGGTTAGGTTAACCAAGGATGTGTGTTGTTGCAGGCTTTGGAGATGAAACCATATGGTGGATTGCATAGAATATTCGAACACAGGTGGTGGAAGTTATGAAGTTTAGATTTTATTTGATAATTTTTTTATTCATAGATTTGTTGGAATCTTGGGGATATTGCAGAGCAGTTGCGAAACTGGGGATGTTTGATTACTGTGGGGCTCTTGAAGATATAAGTCAAGCTTTAGCATTAGCTCCTAACTATTATGAGGTAATACTCAGAGATGTGGCTCTTTTGAAGTTCTATGTGTTTGTATTTGTAAGCTTATTGTTGGTTCTATTATTATATACCAGGCCTACGTTTGCCAAGGTGATGTTTACGTTGCAAAAGGTCAATATGATCTCGCTGAGAAGTCGTACTTGAAGTGTTTAGAGATTGATCCTACTCTTCGCAGATCAAAATCATTCAAGGTTTGTCTCGTTTTGTTTAGCATTTAAGCATTGTCTTCCAAATGGCTGAATGATTTTGCTTATAGTCTCATATGTTGGAGTGGGAGTTCATACATTTGTTTTAACTATCTTTGCAGGCGCGGATTGCAAACCTTCAAAAGAAAGCTGTTGAAGCAGATGTGAGTTAGAAGTATCATGAGATTTGGAGTTGTGTTGGGTGTTGGATGCATATAGCTCACTACGTGTCTGTCACTTTTAAGGGTAATTCTTTTGGCCGTTGCAGTAATGACTCTTTCGTTTGGGTAGAAGGGTTTCCAAGAGCTCCAAAGTATGTTGTTTATAGGTTTATTAGTAATGAGGTTTCGCTGTCTATATTATTCAAGCTAATGATATATATATTATTGAGATGATATTATTCAAGTAAATGACATTATTTTGATACTAGAGACGACCTAAACAACAAGCTCTCCTATCTTTGATTATCACTCATCAACAGTACTCAAAGAGTTACATTAATACTTAGCTTCTGGCCATTCTCACAGTGATCGTACATTCCACAGATGAACCAGTGCTCTCCAACCTCTGACATAATGATTGAGTCATTGCCTTTGTTGAAGAGAGAGATGTAATTCTCTCTTCCACAATCTGCATATGCCGTCGAGTTAACTTGCATAACGTTATGCTGGTCCTTGTTGTAGTTGAAAACTGTTGAGAAAGAGAGTCAGATTTTAGCCAGAGTTGGAAACAACTGATCATATTTTTTTTTTTACAAAATGGTATGGAACAGAGGACTAACTACTAGAGAAGAGGATTCCTTGTCTAGGAGTTAGGGAAATTACCTAAGACATCACCAACATGAAATTCTCTTCCCTGTGTCCAGTTGGTATAGTTTGTCAAGAGTTCCCAGCCAGAGCTGTCGCCAACTGTATGGTTTGCTCCTTCAGGTTTTAGCATGAGAGATGATAACGAGAAAACGACAGAGAGTGTAATCAAGCTGGTGAACCAGCTTCCCTGATGAAGCATTGTTATTTCTTTTCCTTTGTTTTTACTTTTTTTTTGCCAAAAGTCTGTTTAGGTTTATAGCAGTAAGCATCTATGGGTGGGAAGGTCATGACATTGTTGTGTTTGCTAGATTAGTTAAGTCATGTAAACCTTACATTTATGGATTGAAGAGTCACATATAGTTTGCAAGGTCGAACAAACTGTGTGCATCAGGACGATGCACTGAAAAGCATTAAACCGTAACAAGGCGGTAGAACATACACAGTCACGTACGTATGCATTGTTCATAGTTTACTAATACAACAAAGGATAGATTAATTAGGAAAGTTGAGAGTGCAGGATGATGGAGCAGCTGATGAGTTAAGGCTGGACTTTGTGAAGAGGTTAATGTTGTTCAGCTTCTTCAACCACTTGAATCCGTTCTTCTCTTCGGTTTTGTTCTCCTTCTTCTTCTTGGTCTTGTACTTATCCAGGCCAAAGCATCCCGCTGAGACCTTATCATAGACAGGCTCTGAGTTCTGCGATGCCTGAAGCGAATAGATGCGGTTCTGGAGGATGCATACCTTGTGGAAATGGTCATCTCTCATCTTAAGCACACACCTAGCTAGCCCAACAGCTTCGTTCTTCATGAACAACGCCTCTGTGGCTAGCTCTCTGTTCTCCTCCAACAGAGACGTGACTTTGTAACCGAGATTAGCGTTTTCCTCCATAGCCACTTCCTTCTCCATCTCTAGCAACATGACGAACTTCTTCAACAGCTCTATGGTCTTGGAGGCTTCATGAAACTGCTCCTCCTTGTTGAGTAACTCGTGTTGCAGAATCTCTTTGTCCAAGTTTGCAGTCACAAGCTGTGACACGAGCTCATCGACTTCCTCTGAGGCCACAGCAGGGTCTTCCATCTGTTGAAAGGATATTATGCTCTCGGAACTGATCTCGCTACCGGAATCAACCTCTGTTACGCAGTCTTCTTCATCGTGGAGGAGATGAATAGGAGGAAAAGCTGTGGGTTTAAGCTGCTGGTTCTGTCTGGTTTGATGAGAACGGCCCAAGAGAGTGATGTAGCCGTTGTAAAGGTCAAGACAAAGTGAGAGAAGGAGAGGTCTTCTCTGGTAAAACCATTCAGCACGTTGAGCAAACGTATCATCACCTCCTTGACTTTCTTCAAGAGCAGACACACGCAGGAGTTCCATTCGAGCTTCAAGGTCTGTTGTTTCAAACATTTTCAGACAAGAATTGATGAGAGAGAAAGTGGGCCCAACAGTATCATGCTTTTGTTTTTTTTGAAAATTTGAAATTGAGGAAAGCTCCAAAAAGAAAGGAACAGTACCAGAGAGAGATGGCAACTGTGGAGGAAGATGAGTGACGACGTCCATGGATCCTTTGCTCTTCATCATCTTTAAACCTGAAGGATACTTGTTCTTGTTAAGTCATTTTTATAAAGGAAAATGTAAATATGCATAGATCCAGAGGAAGAGAGATGATATAGACATTGATGGCTTTTCCAATAACGTAATAAATGTGCAGAAAAAGATCTCACGATCATGGAGTTTAATGAAGATTTTTAGTGGGAAGAAGAAAGATACAAACCTTGAAACAGAGAGAGAGGGAAGAGAGCTGACACGTCTGCTCAGCTGCATCAGTGCAGAGCATATAACAGGCAAAATCCGCCAAAGCAACAAGTATTTGATTTTGCACCACTCATTTATTAACACGTGGCTAAAGTGCTTGGATTAGCCGTTGCAGCCCATTTACTATTGGGCTTAAAAGCCTTTCCGTCTTTTTGAATTTTGAGATTCAAATGGGGTAAGAAAAAAGCAGAAAGAAGGTGCTGTAGATATAGCATGGTGACAAATGAAATTTTAATTTTGAATCCAGATCAGTAATGTCAATCATTGATCTTATGGCAGATTTATATAAATGTCCTTTTGAAAAAGGAAAAGTAACACGTTATTAGTATTATCTATTCTAGTAAATGAAGAAAAGAAGGCATGACCTTCAAGGACCTGATACTCTGACAGGACAGGAGGGTAAGTAAAGAATTGAATGTCAGACACGCGGCTAGTTTATTCACACGCTTAAATTCTTAATTATTTTGTTAATGCATTAGTTTAAGCTACACGGTGAGTTTGGTGAGAATTCCAGTCTAATTCCTTTTCAAAGTAAACTCACATTTGACACTTCTATTCTATTTCTTTTTTGACAAAAATTGCTAGTTTATCATATAAAATAATTTCACGGTTTAAACATGGGAAATTGCACCCTCTAGTATATGCAAACAAAAACACAAATTTCACTTACTAACTAAGTTCTTTTTCTTTCATACTTCTCCTCTTAGAACAGCAGCACCAGCGAACCTGGCACAAAGTTCGCCACGTGCCTTTTTCCAATTTTTTTTTTATCTTTTTCGTTACTTTTTCTAAAAAAAAAAAAAAATTGGACCTATCGCAGGCCGCCACGTGGCGTGGAGCCCGCAGAACAGTTACAAACTCGCCTCTTGCAGACAGCTCCCCAAGACCCAGGTTCATAAAAATAACATTATTTAATTTTTTTTTTGTTGGTTTCTGTGTAAAACCCCCATTGAACCTTCAATGGGAGTGCTCTTAGAACACTTCCAATGGGCTATCTATCAATTGAAGTTCTAAAAATACATATATATATTTGTTTTTAGAACTAATTCTATACTATTTAATAGACCCTACATCTATATACACATATATAACATATATATATATATACTGTATACCTTTTTAGAACTTCAATGGATAGATCCTATTGGAGGTGGTCTAATATCTCTCCACTCTATTTCCCAAAATCTAATTTTCATTTTTCTTTTTAGGTTATTTGGTAAATAAACCATTTAATAGTTTGGAAAGTTCAAAACAAAAGAGGCAGCTTCTTGAGATTTTCCCTCTTCCAACTTTTTTTTTTTTGCTTTTACTCATTAAACGAAATTTCTTTTGAAATTCGTTGATGCATGCATGTGTGGTCGGTCATAGGAAGATCCAATATGTAAACATTTATTTATTTGTTCTCACTTTAACAAATCAAGATTACTTTCAAGGTTCAATGGTTTTTCTTCATTACAAAACTAAAAAAAGAAAAGACTATATAATACTTCATTCCTAAACGTGCTACATCCTACACCACAGTCTGTCATCATCGTCGTCTTCTTCTCTTTCATCGTTTTTTGCATCTTTCTCCCGCTTACCCTACAATCTTCTCCTACTTCATCTTGGCAAACTCGTCAGGAACATGGCTTCCCCGAACGAAACCGACGAGTTTCCCATTCTTCTTCCAGTTCCAGAAGCTCACAACAGGGCTTTCAACTCGAGGAACCGTAGCGTTTCCTTCTCTAATTCAACTTCTTACTCCACTACTAACAGAGTGGTCGACTCAAGTACTGTTCCTTTAAGCTACACAGGCCCTCTTCGAATGCAGAGAAGACCACCTCCTCCCTCTGTGCAAATGAGTGGTCCTCTTTACTCTCCTCGCAATCGTGATCAGTCTTTCTTTCATCCCTCTCCTGTTCAACCTCCTCCTGACTCTTCCTCCTCTTCCTCTTCCTCCTCTTCCTCTTCCTCCTTCTCTACCGTTGATGTTCCACCTGAAGAAGATGATCAATTCGTCATGAGAAACGCAAATCTATTGAAGTCTGGACAGCTAGGGATGTGTAATGATCCTTACTGTACTACTTGTCCTTCTTACTACAACCGCCAAGCTGCTCAGTTTCACACTAACAGAGTAGCTTCTGACTCTAGGGTACGTTTTTTTCTTTTCTTTTCTTTTGGGTCTGTTTCTACGTACTTATTCGCTTGAGACACAAGTAAAACGTTACACATACAAGACTCTTTGTTTCTTGTTTAGTTCCACGCTGCTCTGTATGATGATGCTAGAGGTTGGGCTAAGCGACTTGCTGCATCTTTCCGTAGATTGGTACCTGGAATCATGAATCCTCATTCCAAATTCGTCCAAATATGGTCTCTTATCTTAGCTGGTTCATGCCTTTTGGCTATCTTTCTAGACCCCGCCTTCGTATTCCTCTTGTTAATCCGAGATGTATGTCTGCTCCATCACTATCTCTTGTTTGACTGTCTCTATATGTTTCCTCATGATCAGCTTTGATACGTTTTTACAGGACAACAAATGCATCGAGATCGATCAGCTTAAGAGAATCGTATTTGTATTTCTGAGAAGTATTTCGGATTTTATATTCTTCATCAACATGCTGCTTCAGGTAGCCTCCTTTTTCTCTCCTCTCCTACTATATGTATTGAAACTTATTTGGCTTTGTGAAGTTATTTCCTCTTTTTTTCTTTTTGTTCTCGATCTCTCTCTTACTTTGTCTCTCGTGTGTTTAATTAAGCTCTCACACGCACAATAATGAACAAAAGCTAATCTAAAGTAGAAAACAATAACATGCACAATGAACACATTATTATTGATCACAATGGTTTCTCTCTTTATGAGATGATGGCTCTTTGACGTGAATCTCGAAATGTACGGGCAAAAATTGATATAACTGATGTAGGACTTTAGTTCCTCTTTGGCGTCAATCTCGGAATATACGGGCAAGGATCGATGGGCCGACTCTATGCTGGATCAATAAGGATCGGGTTGGATTGCAAGGATTGTGAGCTCTGATACCATGTTTAGTTAGATGGGGTTCCAACCTAAAATCAATTGGTGATAAGTGGGATAGCTCATCCTTCTTATATATTGTTAGAGATCTCTTCCAACAACCGATGTGGAATTTTAGTCCCTAATACCTTCAGCTCAAGAATAAAGCTCATCTCTCTCGCTGCTTTAAATTTTAGCCTTACACGTGTCTTCCAACCGTGAACGCAAGAGATGATTGACACTTAACCGTATCACAATCACCAGTCGATTTAGCTCTATACTTGATTGAACCCATTTAGCCGGGAAAGAACTTATATCTATATCTTCAGGCTTTAATATATTTCTTTCTTCCTGTTATATTTTTTCGCAGTTTCGGATGGCCTATGTAGCTCCTGAGTCTAGAATAGTTGGTGCTGGACAGTTAGTTGATCATCCAAGAAAAATTGCCAGCAATTACTTGCGAGGAAAGTTTTTTCTTGACTTGTTGATAGTCGTACCTATGCCACAGGTTTGTAGTATATATTAACCCTTTTTTTTTTAAAGTAATGTTAACTTGAAGATGTTTCTTGATATCTCATGTCTGTTGCAGATATTGATATTTTCGATACTACCTGCACACTTAGCCACACCCTGGTCAGAATTTAAGAAGAACATGCTACGTGTCGTATTTCTATTTCAGTACATTCCAAAACTGTATAGGCTTCTTCCACTTCTCTCTGGTCAAACACCGACGGGGTTCATCTTTGAGTCGGCTTGGGCTAACTTTATTATTAATCTTCTCACCTTCATTCTTGCTGGTCATGTTGTTGGTTCTTGCTGGTATTTTGCAGGGCTTCAGGTATATATATATAAGTCAGTACCACTTTCTGTAATGTTTCACAATTCCTTTATTGATTATTCTCATGTTTGTTTTGTCAGAGAGTTAAGACATGCTTGTTAAATGCTGGGGATTATAAGATGGATGTACGTAGAAATCTTATAGACTGTGCTCGTGGGGATATCAATGCATCACAACGACCTCTTTGGAGAGCAGGCGAGAGTGTTAATGGTTGTTTTCAAGAGGATGGTTTTTCATATGGAATCTATTTGAAGGCTGTAAATCTTACTACTAAACATGATATCTTCGAAAGATTCAGTTACTCTCTGTTTTGGGGCTTCCAGGTAGATTAGGTTGATTGTTATTAAAACTATTTAATCTTTTTAATCACTCATACCTATTGTCAAACTGTTTTTTTTTTGTGTGTGTTTCAATTCTGAAAGCAAATAAGCACACTTTGTGGAAACCTAACCCCATCTTACTCAGTGGGGGAGGTTTACTTTACAATGTGGATCATTGGACTAGGGCTTTTGCTTTTTGCTCGGCTTATCGGTAATATGCATAACTTCCTTCAAGCTCTTGATAGAAGGTATATATACACTTCATCAACAATGTTTCAAGAGACAAAATACTTATAAAAAATGGTGACTCATTTTTTGATTGACCAAGTGTGATGATGATGATTTGTGCTCGTAGGAGAATGGAAATGATGCTGAGACGGCGTGATGTGGAGCAGTGGATGAGCCATAGACTATTGCCAGAGGATATAAGAAAGTATAAACTCTTAAAACATTGCTTCTCATTTGAATTGGGCTTAACTAACTCACTGCTTTGTTCAACAAACGCAGGAGGGTGCGAGAGGCAGAGCGGTTCAATTGGGCTGCTACTAGAGGAGTCAACGAGGAACTGCTTTTTGAGAATATGCCTGATGACCTTCAGAGAGATATAAAACGCCATCTCTTCAAGTTTCTCAAGAAGGTAATAAACATCAGCAGAGTGAATACATTGCACCAGATGTGTTAGATTCGGGTTTATTATAGGATTCCAACTTAAAATCAATTGGTGATTAGTGGATTGGTCATAACCCTTTATATAGTAGTAGATTAATTCTTATATTTCTGATGTGTGATGTTTCTCATCAATACCCTCCCTCACACTCAGACATTTAAGTATAAAGCGTGGACAATGTGGGAATAAGATCCACAAAGGGCCCAACATCGGTATAGTAGTAGTAGTTGTAATAAATTAGATCAATGGATCTTATTGCTCTGATACCATGTTAGATTCGGATTTATTATGGGCTTCCAACTTAAGACCAATTGGTGATTAGTGGATTGGTCCTAACCCTTTATATAGTAGTAGATTAATTCTTATATTTCCGACGTGGGATGTTTCTCATCAATAAGATCAATAAGATGTATAGTGTACTTCTTGAATGTAAATGTAGAGATAGTTGGGCATAGATTTACCATTTCTGCTACTCAACCATAAGGTTCATTGGTTTGCAGGTAAGGATATTTTCGTTGATGGATGAATCAATCTTAGATGCTATACGTGAGAGGCTGAAACAAAGGACTTACATAAGGAATAGCACGGTGCTGCACCGCAAAGGTCTAGTTGAGAAAATGGTATTCATAGTGAGAGGTGAGATGGAGAGCATAGGAGAAGACGGTTCTATTCTACCATTATCAGAAGGAGACGTTTGTGGTGAAGAACTTCTCACTTGGTGCCTTGAACGCTCTTCTGTAAGCCTTGGTACGTCCCCTTATGCTAATAGGCTTTGTGCTCTATGTGTTTACAACTCTCAAAGATTGTAACTGAAAATGCTATGAAACTTGCAGATGGGACGAGGATAAAAATGCCGACAAAGGGATTGGTTAGCAACAGAAATGTTAGGTGCGTGACAAACGTGGAGGCGTTTTCACTAAGTGTAGCAGATCTTGAAGATGTAACGAGCTTGTTCACAAGATTCCTAAGAAGCCACAGAGTGCAAGGAGCCATAAGGTATGAGTCTCCTTATTGGAGGCTACGAGCAGCTATGCAGATTCAAGTGGCTTGGAGATACCGAAAGAAACGACTTGAGAGATTATTGTTACAGGATAACAGAGATGCGTGATATGCCTAGAGGTTATCAGTTAAGTTGGTCAGGTGTTGTCGGATGCAAGTGAGGAAACATCTTGATACATGTGGAACCATCTAACTTGTTGTGTAAATTGTCAGTAATTTAGAGTCATTTTAAAAATAAAAAAATATAACATAAAATTTTATTTTATTGTTAATGTGATTTTTTTTATTTTAATAGTATAAAATTAAAAAGAATGATAGAAGATACACAAATTGTTATCAAATTTTTATTATTCGAAATCATTAATTTTCATTTATATCTAATCATATTAGGTAATTCTCTAACTTTTATATAAATAGTAAAGGAAAAATATTTTTTGTAGATTATTAATTAATTTTATGGCCAGCTTGATGAGAAGCATAATGTACTAGACATGGGAAGAAATATAAATTGCAGTAATTTATTAATATATATTTTTTTTTATTTAGTTAGTGTTATATTTTATTTTATTTTAGTTAAAAATATTGTTTATAAGTTATTAAAATTTGATCTTTTAGCGCATTGAATTTTGAAAAACATTTAATTACTATAATATATATATATATATATATATATATATATATTTTTTTTTTTAATTTGGTGTAGTTAAATTTGTATCCTTTGTATGGTTATTTTAGTTATAATTTCGTATTTTGTTTATTATTAGGGTTTGTGAATTTTTGAAAACAGACAAATCACTTCTAAAATTTATAAACTAACAAAATTCTAAAATTGAAAAATCAAAAATTAAGACCACTCTATTAAAGTGAGGATTTATCCTTTTAATCAAAAACAATCACATGGTTTTTAAAAGACATAAACATAATTTCAATTAAAATTACTTAATGTTTTAGAAAACTTCTTGTAAATAACATATTTGGTTTTGTGTTTGGAAAGCACAATTAAGTGAAAATTGTATGTAGTACATTTTAAATAGAAAACTTGTTTCTAGTGAAATAACATACATAGAGTTCAATAAGAGTTCTAGCCAACTAAATTATTTGAAGTCTTCTTTAGTTACATTGTTACTTTAATTTATGATATTAATTTTGATCTTTTATCTATTGAAAGTTGAATGATCTCTGACAAAAATGAAAGGCACAGTTTTTTTTACAGAGAAAGACATGATTTTTATGAATAAGACAAAAATCATATATTGATAATTAAGTAAAACAATTGATTTAGAGAATAAAACTGATTAAAAAGAAATTAAAAAGTATTTAAGATGTTTATAACTAACTTTAAAATTGAAAAGAAAAATGATTTAAGAAATAAATGTATTTTTATGAATTTGAGATTTTAAAAATATTTTTTTTTTGACATCGACAACACAGATTCATCTAGACTTTGCGAACCAAACCGGCAGCTCTGTATCCACGTGAACAACGAAATACGATTGTTTCCTCGCACTACGTGCTAGACTATCCGCCCTTGAATTCAAAGTTCTTGGTACATGGATGATTGTTGAGCTGTTGAAACTCCCTTGAAACATCTTGATATCTTCCAAATAACTTGCAAAAGCTGGCCATTCATCTGGTTCCGAAACCATCTTCACAAATTGAGAACAATCTGTTGCAAATGTAACACAATATTGACGCAAATTCCACATACTATCCATTGCCCAAATAAGTGCTTCCACCTCTGAATGTAGAGGTGATAGACTTTCCCTGACGTTTCTTGCGCCCATTAAACCTTCAAAACCTTCGAGTGTACTATACCAACCCTGTCCATCAAACATACCAACACCAACGCCCAGGTATGGACGGTTTACTTTTTTTTATTAAACCGCATGTTTCAAATATGAGATATATTGCTAAAATAATTTAACTTTTTATATTAGATTAAATATATATATATAGCAATCAGTTTTTCTTAAATACTAGGTTTTAATCAAAAAAACTAGCAGTATTTTTGTTATCAATAAACATACTCAACTAAAACTCTGCGAACCAAATTGATAATTCTGAATCAATATGACTAACAAAAAGTGGTTATTTGTATATTAAATATATTATCTTTTAAATTCCATTCCTTTTTATCTATATAAAAGAAATTCGTACATATTTTAAATATAAAAATTGTTATTTTTATTTGTATCAATGATGTTGTTTTTATATTAAACTCCTTTTTATTTATATAAAAGAAAATTTGTTTTTTATTAACTTAGATTTGTTAAATCTAAAATGCTATATATATTGTATTAGTTGTATTATATTTTCGATAATAAGGTGGTTTGGAGAAATATAACAAAAAAAGAAAGTTAAATAAAATATATTAATAATGACACTTTAATAATTAAATCGGTTCATTGAGATTATCATTGCAAATATGAAAGATATTGACTTTTGATAATAAGGTGATTTGGAAAAAATATTAACACAAAAGGAAAGTTAAACAAAATATTTTATAATGATATTACAATAATTAAATTAATTCATTAAGGCTATCCTTGCAATTATGAAAGATACTGCCTTTTAAATAATAAGGTTATTTGGAAATAAATATTTTTAAAAAGAAAGTTAAGTAAAATAGATTACTTATGATATTTAATAATTAAACTAATTTTCAACTGTATTATTGCAATTAATTATTTTAATAATTAACGTAAAAATGTCACTTATGAAACTGACTTCTCAAATACATATTATAGAGATGTATATATGAACCAACTTGTTTCTCGAAAAAATCTAAGAAACATTTATTAATCTATATTATATACAAGTTGATGCTATAATAGATCGAAGACGTCCATATAGGATTTAAAACCACTAAATGTATTATAACAAATCATCATTTTTGTTGTTATTTCTAAAAATGTTAATATTACCAAAAATCATTTTATTTTAAAATAAAATATAAATTAATATCAATATAGTAAACTTACAAAAGTGAAAACAATATATATAAGTTAATTTAGTATATAAATAATTTCGAAAATTAACATAAATTCAATTAACACACACAATAATTAATTATAACTATATAAATTTAAAACACATTATTTCTAAAGTTAAAGTTGAGGTTATAAATCAGAACGTCCACATAAAATTTAAGTCTTCCAATTATATTATGATAAATCATCACTTTTATTTGTTATTGCAAAAATGTCAATAATACCATAATTTTATAAAATATAAATAGGAAAAATAATAAGTCATATTTTGAATACAATTTCATAGAAAATGTATATGAATCGTTTAGTTTTCTTATATTAAAACTAAGAAAAAAAAATATTAACATAAATTCGTGCATAACGTGAATTGCAAATCTATTGATACATAATTCACATGTTATAAAGATTCTTAATTAATATATAATGGATTAGAATAAATAATTTTTGAAGTTTCCTAGATGCAGACATCTTCAACAAAAGAGCAGTATGTAACATTTAATTTTTGTTTTCATTTTGGATCTATAAATCATTATAAGCTAAAACATAGATGCTTAGATGTCAAGCCTTCTTTCACACTCCTTCATGTGTACTG